TCTAAACAGATAAACAAATTTCAATAAAGATAAAATTTTTACACTTTCAAAATATGAGCGATAATATATATCTAACTCCACCATCCTCATCAACATTAATCCCATTTCATCTTTGCAACGTCAATTTCATTATTTGTATAAAATCAACTTTTGAGGCATTTAGGGCAAAACCCCTTTTTCTTTCCAAAATCGATCACAAGTATCAAAATCAACCATTTTAGTCCAAATCAACTTTATTTTCAACATCACAATCATTTCCAAGAATCCATTTGAAAAACCCCTCTTTTGATTTTTAACCCAAAACCCTAGGTTTGTTTCAAAAATTCCCATGATCACTATATTGTTTAGAAGTAGCAAATAACTAAGTTAAAACTCGTAGAAGGTGCAAAGAATCCCTACCTCAAGTTTAGAAGATGAGAAAAAAAGTGATGGAACTTTAACAACGCCTAAAACCCAACTTTGTTCGGATTAAGAGGAAGCCCACGACATACTCTACATTTTTAACAAATGGACAAGGGTGAAGAACTCAACGGATCTAGGTGTATTTGTAGAGAGAAATAGAGTTTTAGAGAGAGAGGGTGTAGATCTAGGGTTTTTAAAAAGTTTAGAGAGAGAGAGAGAGAGAAAGAGAGATGAAAAAGTGATTCAAAAAGTGACCTTGCGAGCCCAATTCACTTGAACGCAAGAAGTGTAGCTCAATCGTCACGATACAAAAATGTGAGACCGCTCAAGCGTAGGAACTTTCGCTTGAGCGAAGAATACAAACTCCCAGAAGTTTTACAGATAGAAGACCACCGCTCGAGCTCAACAATTACTGCTTGGGCCAACGCTGCTTGAATGCAAGAAAGACCGCTCGAGCAAAAAAGCTAAGTCCTAGTATCTCTGTAGACCTGCAAAAGTAATGGAAGTTCACAAAGACCACTCGGGCGCAATAAGTGCCGCTCGAGCGAAGAAACAGAATTCTGGACAGCAATAGTTTGAAAAACAAGTTACTAACCTGTTCCAAATGCCACTAACACATCCCAATAGCCAAACCCAAAGAAAAGTAAGTGGAAACAAGACATGAACAACTGTATAAGACAATAAAATCCGGATCCAAAACATCAAATGTGTCGGGTTTAAACCAGAAAAGCTATATCTACATCTTAACAAATCTGTAATATATACCCTCCAAGATATGAGACACCGTGATTATGATGATTCATTACTACATGTTATTAAATCTAGTCTTGTACATGGACTAATTTACTTTGAATGTTTTCCAAATTTCAAAGTCTCTTTAATTGATCCTACTATCCTCAAAACTCTTATTCTTAATATCCAAACCAAACATTATAAGATGGATTCTCTTTCTTTTAATATTATGGTCTGTTACCGTGTTTATCTTAAAGCAATGACTACTTCATGTCCTGGATTCAAATATATAGCTCCAAATCCCAAACAATCAACCATTTTATTCCATGCTCATCAAGAAAATTCTGAGATTATGGTTCTTCAAGCCATCACTTGGCAAGAAGTTCTACAAGCTGTTGCAGAAGATAATGATGATACATGGGTTATTCCCAATGCTGTCCCAACCCTCACCTCTCAACCTAAAACAAATCCAAATTCTATACTCCAGAATCTAGATGGATCCGTTGTTATTCGTTTCCGACAATCCAGATCTATTCCTACTCAATCTCATGCATCCTCATAACCACCTTCTACAAGATATCATACTCCGGCTCAAACCCCTCAATATCCTACTCGTACCATTACATTCAACCCGAAGACAACCAAACCAAATCCCACAAACAAATTATGCTGATTTTAGTCATTTTCAAGATGTTGACTTCGACATAGATTCCCTATCAATTAATATTGTCCAAAATGATTTCACAATTAATCATGACTTACTTTTCCAAGAACACAATGCTCCCTATAATTCTGAAAATAAAATTTATTTTTCTTAACCTAAAACAAATCCAAATTCTATACTCCAGAATCTAGATGGATCCGTTGTTATTCGTTTCCAACAATCTAGATCTGTTCCTACTCAATCTCATGCATCCTCATAACCACCTTCTACAAGATATCATACTCCGGCTCAAACCCCTCAATATCCTGCTCGTACCATTACATTCAACCCGAAGACAACCAAACCAAATCCCACAAGCAAATTATGCTGATTTTAGTCATTTTCAAGATGTTGACTTCGACATAGATTCCCTATCAATTAATATTGTCCAAAATGATTTCACAATTAATCATGACTTACTTTTCCAAGAACACAATGCTCCCTATAATTCTGAAAATAAAATTTATTTTAAGAAAAACATAACATTGAACAATAACAACTTATTCAACTTGAGTATTTTCTCACTCTACACAATTACAACAACATATACCTTTTTTCCGTTAGTATTTTAACCAATATTATCCTCAACATCAAATAATGGTTCCCCAAAACCTTTTATCAACACATTTCAATGTCATACGAAAAAATTGGCTTGTTCTTAGTGGTGAGCCTGTTCAATCTGTACATCCTCCAAGAAAAACTAGCACTCTTCAAGGTGTTGGTTTCTCTTTTTATGCTAAACCATACAACCGACCACCTATGGAGGGACGACCACCTATGGAGGGAAGCCAATCCTTCAAAACAACTCCATCTACAAGTTTTGACATAGGACAAGTCTATGAACAATTAAACTATACAAATATACAACAATTGGTGAACAACAACTCGGATTGAAGAACGAGTTGACAAACTCATGTTGCTCTCCTTTCCATTGTTTATAAGTTATTTCTAGTTATTCCATTTAAGTTGTCAATGTTTGTTTTGTTTGCTACCTTGGGACTACATAGATGATTTTAAAAAGGGAAGGATTTGTTATCAAAAATTCATTATAATATTCATGCTTGTCATTTACCGTTTTGAGTTTAGAGCTTCGTAATGTTATATAAATGTAGTAGTTAACTGATTAATACTGATTAATGTTTTTATAATAATAAGTTGACTACCACCAGGTGCAAGCTTTTTCAAGGCAACCTTTAGCTTCTTTGTAGATTCAAGGAAGTAAATGCAAACTAGTTTTGTTATAGGGAGTGGATTATTAGGATGGTTTTATTTTGAAATTTTACAATTCTCTTTTAAAGGATCAACTTAGCACATCTAGAAATATATATATATATATATATATTATTTGGAAATAAATTTGTTAACAGAACTACTGTAGTTAGATCTTCTAAAGTTCAAATATTAATTTGTTTGATTTAAACTATTCTTATTTAATGTATTTGTTTGATTGTAGTTATTCTTGTCTACTGAATTTGTTTGATTGAAATTATAGTAAATAAAATTTATAGAAAAAGAATTGAATTCTATAAATAATCACAATTCAAAAAATGAGATTTTTTAATAAAAGAACTGAAATAGTATATATCACGATTTTTATATAAAAAAATGATATCTATTATATATTTATTAATGTTTACTGTTATAACTAAAAGCGAGATTGTAACTTTAAAAACAATCATGCTTTTTTCTGAAAAAGTGGGATTGTAACTTTAAAACAATCACATTTTTTTCTCTTCTTAAAATGTGAGATTATAACTTTAAAACAATTATGTTTTCTTCTTAAAAGTAAGATCTTTTACATTTCAATCTCAGTTTTTTAATTTTTTTTTATCACGGTTAAAAACTGTGATGAAAATGTTAGATAAGTAATCACATTCATACTCACATACATCACATCTTTTTAATTAAAAAAATTGAGATTGAAAACTTAAGATTACGATAAAAAATCATGATATTTTGCCGTTATTGTAATAGTGAGAAAGAGAGATGAGAGAGCAATACTATAATAATGCTTAACGATCACATAAGAGAAATTAAAAATATCTTATTTTTATTAGAGGTGTAATTAAAATGATGTAATATTTATTTGTAATCAATTTGATTGGATGAGATAATATTTATTTGTAATCTCACCTTCCAAATAAGGATGATTATATGTCTTTTTTTTATTTTAATCATAGTTTCTAAATATATGTGATTGTATATATTTTTTTAATTTTATTTTTATATCAATATAATAAAATAAAAAGATTTTCAACTTTTTTATAATTTGTTAGAACGGTGCAGATCTTCCACACAGGAAACAAATGGTTGAGATCATTTTGCTGTCCCTCTTTCTCCCGCCCATCACACACACACAAATTCCTCTCCCTCTTTCTCTCTTCACGTATAGAAACGATTTCCACTTCTCTTCCTTTCTCTCTCTCTCTCACTCACTCTTTCTCTCTCTCTCTCACACACACACACACACACACACATCCTACCTTCTCTTCCCTGTTGTCTGACGAATTCGGGCTCACCGTTGTTGTGCTTCAGACGAATCTGATTTTGTAAGGTATGAATCTTTAATTTTTTCTCTCTTCAGTAATATACAAAATCAACAACACAACAATCTTGTAATCAAATTATCAATCAATAATATACATCAGTTTATTTTACAAATGAGAAAGAGAGATGAGAGAGCAACACTATAATAATGCTTAACGATCACATAAGAAAAATTAAAAATATTTCACTTTTATTAGAGGTGTAATTAAAAAAATTAAAATGATATTTTAATCATAATCAATTTGATTGGGTGAGATAATATTTATTTGTAATCTCACCTTCCAAATAAGGATGATTATATATCTTTTTTTATTTTATTTTAATCATAGTTTCTAAATAAATATTTATTTGTAATCTCACCTTCCAAATAAGGATGATTATATATCTTTTTTTATTTTATTTTAATCATAGTTTCTAAATATTTTTGATTGTATTTTTTTTTTTTTTTTTGAGTTTCAGTCAGTGGAGGCTTGCCACCTCACTGGGGGTCTGCAGCACAATTGTTGTATATATTTTTTCAATTTTATTTTTATATCAATATAATAAAATAAAAAGATTTTCAACTTTTTTATAATTGGTTAGAACGGTGCAGGTCTTCCCACACAGGAAACAAAAGGTTGAGATCATTTTGCTCTCCCTCTTTCTCCCGCCCATCACACACACACAAATTCCTCTCCCTCTTTCTCTCCACGTATAGAAACGATTTCCACTTCTCTTCGTTTCTCTCTCTCACTCACTCTCTCTCTCTCGCGCGCGCACACACACACATCATACCTTCTCTTCCCTGTTGTCTGACGAATTCGGGCTCACCGTTGTTGTGCTTCAGACGAATCTGATTTTGTAAGGTATGAATCTTTAATTTTTTCTCTCTTCAATCTGAAGTTCGAATTTAACTCGGGAATACGTATTTTCCATTGATATAACACTGAAACATCTACTTTCTCATGGATTTAGGGCATTTTCTCATGGATTTAGGGTTTATTTGATTTAACACTGGTAGTTTCTCATGGATTTAGGGCATTTTCTCATAGAATTGTTTAACACTGAAACGCCTACTTTCTCATGGAATTAGGGTTTATTTGATTTCAAAATCCATATATTTCGTGGAAAGAAACATTTTGGGGAAAAAAATATTTCATCTTTGATTTTTTTGTTCCCCTTTTTTGAAAACCTACTACTTAAAATTTCATTTTAATTTGTTTTCCAAATAGCATTATGGGAAAAAATCTTTTTTGTTGTTTTTATTTTTTCCCCTAAAAACCCACTACTTAAATTGGAAATTTTTTTGTAGTTCATTTAATTTGGAAAATGTTTTGGAATCTCACGCAAAGGCCAAGCACAGTGCTAGAAAATAAATGGATTTAAAGAGACAGCTTCTGAGTTCTGATTGGAAAATCTATGCTTAGTTTATTAGGTAATTTTTATAGCACTAAACTTTACTAACTAGTATCTTTTTATATTGTGAGTGTTAATGTCAATTTGGTATAAATATGAAATTGTGGAAAGGTTCTTTCCTTGAAGAATGGTTAATAAGATTGTGACTGGATACTTCTCTTACTCTTTCCTAAACCAAAGCATACATGATTCAATCATAAACTTGTGTGTGTAGGCTAGACCTTAGTACACAGGGGGACAGAATAAAGGACAATTAATTTAATTGGTTCCTCAGCTTGGCCAGCTTAAAAATTTACAGTACCTGTAAGTCTAATTTTATGTGTCTGTTTCAATGCTGCCATGGATTTTTTTCAGTTTGTCTGGATATTTATTAATTCCTTATTATGAAATAAGAGTAAGATTTTTTTATAATTAATGCCTGCTATTGGGAAATGTTTCCCTAGGAAATGATCTTCTCATCATTTCTGCAAAAAATGATTTTGAATTAGAATCTTACAGGATATTTTGAGCACCAGTTAGGCTTGGTTTGGTATAATTAAAAAAAGTCAAAAAGTCACTATCCTATTTAAATCACATTATCTTATGTAAGTTACATTATCTTTCTATCACATCACTTCAAACCAAGGTTTTAAAAAGCGGCCGCAACCGTTACGTAACGCCGTTACGTAACGGTTTTGGCGGTTACCGCCACCCGTTACGGCCGCTTTTGCAGTGTGATTGAGAGTCACAGGTGTGTCGGCCGTAGCGGTCGTAACGGTGCTGTAACAGCTGTAACGGCGCCGTAACAGCTGCAACGGCCTGTTACGCACCGTTACGTAACGGTTCCAAGCTGTTTCTTTCGAAAAAACACACAAAAAAAAGCTGAAAATGGGGGAAGAGGGATAGAGAGAAGAGGGAAGATAAAGAGAGAAAATAGAGGAGCAAGAGATAGAGAGAGAGAGAGAGAAGAGGGAAGATGAAGAACATGTTATTGATTTGTTGAAACTATAAGGCCTATGCTATTCTATTCAGCTGCTATCACTAAATCATTTTATTTGTGTGCGTCTATCTATATATTGTTTGAAAATAATAATAATAATAAGTGTGGTCATTATCTATTTGGCTTGATTAAAATATGTATGTATATATATATATATATATATTTAAGTTCTTATTTATTCTCTTACTTTTGTCATTATTTATCTTATATATAATAGTTAGTGATTAATTTTTTATAAAATATAAAGTCATTAATTATTAAAATAAAATGTAAAAAACTCAGTTTATAGTGATTTAAAAATATGAAATATATTGGATCATACCTGAAAATTTACAAAAATTGATCAATATTTATTTTTAGCCCAATAAATATGATCATGGAAAAAAAATATGTGCATCGGTAAGTTTTTTTCAAATTATGCAAAAAAATAAAAAAATTCACGGTTTCGGTTACCGCAACCGTTACACTACGGCCTTTACACCCCGCAACCGCAGCCGCAACCGCGTCACCGCCACCGTTACGGCGACCGCAACCGCTTTTCAGAACCTTGCTTCAAACCAACCCATACCCAACTCATATTTCATAAAAAGTCAAAAGTACACTTATTTAGTTTATCCCAAACAATCCAATTTCATGGAACTGAAGAGCTTTGTCATGCCTACTATTTAGTTATTATAGTGTGATGCATGACTGTTGAAAGTGTCACCACAAATATGGATGTGAATATATGCTTTTTGGAAAATGCTATACAAATAACTTTTTTTTCTCAAGACATGTCTTTGAATTTTTGCTCCTTATGCAGAAGTTGGAGAGGTAGAAATTACATCTCAAATTAAATCTTTTAACCAATTACATGTTACACCTTAAATTGATTCTCTTAACCTTGAAAGTAGAAAAAATCCCAATATATGTATGTATTAAATAAAACCTCTTAATGAGACTCTAAGACAGTGTTTGGTTCACTATAATAAAGTGCAAAATCCTTTACACTTTTCATATTTGGTTGACTAAAAGAATAACCATTATAAAGTGCAATGGGAATCATCATTAACCATTATAAGGAAATGATCATTCCATAGGGAAGTGTAAGTAATAACCATTTCATTTCATCTTATTCCAATGAACCAAATAAAGCATAAATGAGATTGAAGTAATTTAAGTATGACATGTTTATGATAATGTGTTTCAAATATAATTAGTGTTCTGATAAATGATTTGGGTGATTTTGATAAATGTGTGAATTGAGTTTCCTTTTTTTAACATGCAAAATAGTGTTTTGTGATTTTTTATTTTTATTCGAATGCTGAAAATTAGAATTATAGTGAAAGAGAAATATCCCATTGCACTTAAATTACGTGACAATTAAGTAATCAAATAGCCATTGTACAATCCATTGCTATTTGAAACTCAATCTATTGTATAACTCTATTAAATGAGTGATTTCTTCACAACAGGTCTGTGTGTTTTAACCTCTTCAACAATCTTGGAGTTCATATTAATTCAAATGATGGACAACATCCATATTTTTGGTTATGCGTGTTCAGTTTATATTTTATAAATCGGGACTTAATTTCTTACGTATTATTTATAATTTTTCTCATAATCAAATGCTTTTGGATTATTTTTTATAGGTGGATGATATGTTGGAGGAAACAGTAATATTAGATCTCTATACTCATTTTTTTATTTAATCTAAATTTCATAATATAATTTTTCTTTTACATTTCAAATGCGTTTTCTATACATATACAGGTTCAATTTCTTCAAAACAGAAATGTCAGTGTTGTGATCCACAATGAATGGGACTTCAATGTCCTCTGTGTTCGTGGAGTAAGCCTACTAATCAAATTTATTTGTTTATCATATTTTTACAATATCTGTAAAGTTTTTGCTTATTTTTCAAAAGGCAAAGGCCAAGGCAAAAGGTAGAGGCAAAGACAAATGATTTTTTGTGAGGTTTTTGAAAGGTTGAAAGGTTTTTGAAGCTAGATTTAGTTGATTTTTGAGTATTTGACTTTTTAGAGTCAAAATGGACCTGTGTTGTGCCTTTATATGCTGTGTTACATGGACTCGCCGGTTTAGGGTAGAGTACCCATATCGACACAACACGACACGACACGACATGTGTACGAGTGTGAGGTATGTGTCAGATTCGGCATAGTTTTCTCGAACACGGTTGACATGAGAGAAGAAAGAAGGGTTGTTGAGAGAAACTTAGGCTCTGTTTGGTACAGCTCTAGAATATGATGTTTGTTTTGGTTTTCAAATCATAATTCGATACTCAAATTTGGGCTTACCGGTCGTCCCACCGGTCGTCCGGCCGGTTGACCAGAACAGTGCATTTTTTTTTTTTTTTGCAATTGACATATGTTAATTTTTATATATTCGAAAAAAATATTTTCTGAATTTTTAAAATTTTTTATGTGCTTTAATAGAATTTTGAGTTGTATGTTTAGTTATGAGTTGTAAATTTTTGTATCAAATATCATATATCACATCAAAAATTTCTTACTCAATTTAAAACTCTTTTCAAAACTCTTTAACCAAACAAATTTTCCATACTCAAATTATAATTTCAAAATTCACAAACTCAAAATACAATTCCTGCACTCAAATCATATTTAGAAAATTTTACCAAACGCAACCTTACATTGGACCAATGGTAGCAGGAGGTCGCCAGCCTTTGTAGTTGGATTAAAGGCCGCAAGCCTCTCCTCTGTCATCACAAGCCTTTCGCTGGAGGTCGCAAGTCTCGCTACAGAACTGACAAAAATGAGAAAGGGAACTGAGATAGATATGAGAATGAGACTTCATAATTCTTTTTTTATCTCTAGTAAGAGAAGTTATTCAATTCCAAATCTGAGAGGAAGATTGTATCGGAGGTCGCAAGTATCGTCAGAGAACTGACAGATATGAGAAAGGAAACTAAGGCCCCGTTTGTTTCTAGAGATGAAATGGAGGGGATTGATAGTGAGGGGATTAATAGTGAGGGGATTGTTAGTGAGGGTCGTTTGTTTTCAGAGATAGAATGAAGGGGATTGATAGTGAGGGGATCAATAATGAGGGGATTGTTAGTGAAGGGATTGATAGTGAGGGGATTAGTAGTGAGGGGATTCATAGTGAGGGGATTAGTAGTGAGGAATTGTTAAATTATTTTTATATAAAATAATAAACAAATAAAAAAATATAAAAAATTAAAAATTATATTTTAAAAAAATTTTCCAATATATAAAAAATAAAAAAATAAAAAAATTTCTAATCCCCTCACTATTTTTCTAATACCATCTCTACTTCCTCACTATGAATCCCCTCCCCAAGGGTATTAGTAATACCAAGGTATTAGTAGTACCCTCCTTATCTCTCAAAACAAACAAAGTAATACCAAGGTATTAGTTAGTCCCAAGGTATTAATAGTCCCTATGCTATCTCTCAAAACAAACACCACATATACTAATCCCAAGGTACTAGTAATCCTAATCCCCTTACTATAACCCAAAACAAACGGGGCCTGATATACTTTTTTTATATATCAAAAAGATGATTAGTTAATAATTAAATATTTTTTAATTATCATTAATTTATCTTCTTGACATATCACAAATAGATTTAATTTTTTTATTTTTTTATTAAATCTTTTATTTCTTATTTCTATGATATTCTCGACTTTCAAAACATGATAATGTGAATACAAAATAAAATATTTATTAAAAAACTGTATTCATGCATTTAATTATATTAAAAAAAGTATAAAAATTATGTGGTAATATCATTATTATAAATAAATGTATTTTCAATAATTTTTTTATTTTGAAGTGAATGGGACACTTATCATGAAATAATAAGGATAAAAAATATGTTAATTCTAAAAAATTTATTATTAAATTTAATATATATTTTTTAATTTAATTATTTTCTCAATATATTTTTTTTACACATTCTCAATATTAGCAAGTGCCATGGGAACACTTATATTAGTATTTGTCTAACAAAAGTATGCATGAATTTTTTATTTATAGCATTACTAATCTATTAAGTATTTTTAATACATTTTATTTTTTAATTTTATATTGTGAATTTTTATTTTTATTTATTTATTTGTTTTTTACAATAGAATTCAATTGAAATAAAGAAAAAAATAAAGATTTTATTTTAAAATGATGGTCTTATTAGGTCTACACAGGCCTCGAGATAATTAGAAAGTATGTACAATTATAGTAGATGGGTATACGGGGAATGGCTTTGGTTGGCAAAGCGTTTTTTTTTTTTTTTTTAACATTTTGGGTTAAAATTTACAAAAAGGCAAAATAGGTTAAAATAGTTAATAAAATAAAATGTCATATCAAATTCATAATCATTTTATTTTCTCTCACAGCAATCACATTTAATTATAAAAAAATCAATCATCTTCTCAAATACAAATATTTTAGCCTAACAAAATAGTCAAAAACATCACATCCAATATTTCTTTTTCTCTCTATTTCTTACATATTTTTTGATAAAAAATTAAAAGTTATTTCAAACATATAATTTTTTTTATCTTATATTTTAACTAAAAATTTAAAAATTATTAAAATAATATATTCTCAAGCCAATATTACTTTTCACTATTTAAAAAAAAATACTTTGGTAATGATAGTAAATAAAAGTAATATGCAAATAATAAATTTATTCATAATACATGACATTACCTATTAAGCATAAATGTATAATTAATTTTGGTCTCTTATGCTTATTCTTTATTTTTCTAAATGGTAATTGTGTATAATTTTTTTAAGAAAGAAAAATTATTTTTATCATATTCTCTAATGCTTATTCTTTAGTTGAAAAATGCTTGGGAGCACTAGAAATGGAGCACTAGAAGGACCACTAATGATGTGGCAATGGGCCCCGCCCACTTTCTATGTCTTGTTTCTTTTTGTTTTTTTTTTTTTTTTATCATTTCCAATGCATTAGTGCTATTAGTGGTGTATTTTTTATTGGGAGCACTAGAAATGGAGCACTAGAAGGACCACTAATGATGTGGCAATGGGCCCCGCCCACTTTCTATGTCTTGTTTCTCTTTTTTTTTTTTTTTTTTATCATTTCCAATGCATTAGTGCTATTAGTGGTGTATTTTTTAGTGGTCTAAATCATTGTTGTCTTTAGTTTTTCTATCTTTTCTATATTCGACATATGAATTTTTTCTCCATATCTAATTTGTATTAATACAAATTTTATTAATTATTTTAATATTATCCTATTTATTACAATTTTCACTTAAAAAATTCAGTATGGTTGAGGCAGCTACTCTAATGTAGGGGTATTGTCTAGTCTGGGGGTATTGTCTAGTCCATATCAAATAGTTTAGTAATTCAAATTGAAAAAATCAAATCAGTAATCATTATAATTAATGAGTAATGTTATATAATAATAATAATAATAATGTAGTTCGTTGTGGATTTTTGTTTTTAAAATAAAATACCATAAAAAATGAATTTATTTTCAATATGAATAGTATTGTTATATCATTTTATTATGAATAAATTTTTTTATAATTTTTTTTTTAGATGAGAATTTTTTTTTTTATAATTTAATAGAGAAATAACAATCACTTCACCCAATGATTTTGTAAAAATATTGCATGATAGAAATAGACACCATACCATACCATGCATCCTAAATTATTTATTTGTAGTAATTATATTATTTAGGGCTTGTTTGTAAACATGTTATTTTAATAATTCTTTAACTTTTTACAAAAATATATACACCTTTTTGAATGGCTATAATAATAAAATTGAGTAAACAAATTGGGAAATTAATACAAAAGTTAATTGCTTTTTCTAAATTGGAGATAATCAATTAAACTAATACATATGTACTGGACTACCAAAAAATAAAAATAAAAATACCTATGTACTGGAAAATTATAATTATCCATTGTAATTCGATATGATATTCTCTTTATATTTGTAAATAATTTTCATTGATTAATAAAAAATATTGAGTTAATCAGATTTATAAATTTAATTTTATATAAGTTATTTTTACGTAATAATGTAAGTAAAACTTGTGCACCCACCATTTTAAATTGTTAGGACAATTACAAAAATAAAATAATTTTTTTTTAGATTTTAAGCCTTTTAACAAAATAAATCCTGACTTTTAAATTTTGTCAATTTAAGTCATAATCTTTTGATTTATTTTCAATATAAACCATTAGATTACTTCTGTTAAGTAAAATCAAATAAAAAAATAATCTTTTAATCATTAAACTCAATGTAGGTATACATAAAATACTTAAAATATATACAAATTTTCGTTATAGCGCTTATGGCTTAGACTCGCTCCATTGTATGTTTTGGATCCGAATCTTGTTGTCTTTTATAGTTATCCATGTCTTGTTTCCCCTTATATCTCTTTGAGTTTGACTTTTGGGTTGTGTTGATTGCGTTTGGAACAGGTTAGTAGCTTATGTTTTCAAACTTTTGTTGCTCAGATTTTTATTCCTTTGCTCGAGTGGTATTCGTGAACATCCAGTATTTTTGTAGGTTTGCAAAATTACTGGGAGTTTGTATTCTTCACTCGAGCGAAGCTTTTTGTGCTCGAGCGACGACCTCTGTCTGCACAACTACTAGGAGCGTGTATTCTGTACTCGAGCGAAGCTTCTTGTACTCGAGTGGAACAACTTATTGTGTCTGGTCGCTCGAGCAACAACCCTTGCGCTCGAGCAAATTGTGCGTATATCAGTTTGTAAACAGGTCATTTTACATCAGTTTTTCATCTCTCTATCTCTAGAACATTTCAAAACCCTAAGTTGAGATATTTTCTCTCTAAAACTTACATTTTCTCTACAAATACACTAAGATCTAGTGATTTCTTCACCCTACTCTTTTTGTTAAAAAGGTAGAACTCACCTAGAGCTTCGTTTTCATTTGAATAGAGTTGGGTTTCGACTTCATCCAAGTTTCATCCGTGTTTATCTCGCCTTCTAGTTTTGAGGTAGGGATTCTCTACATTCTTTTATGATTTTTATCTAAGCTATTTCTCTTATAAAACCATCATATGATTTTGGAGAATTTTGGACAAACTTAGAGTTTTGGTTTAAAATCAAAAGAACGGTTTTTTAAATGGATGTATTAAAATGGTTGAGAGAGTGGAAATAAGGTTAAGTTGTGATAAAATTATTGATTTAGATACTCAGGATATGTTTTGGAAGAAAATGGGGTTTTTGCCCTAATTATCTCAAATGTTTATTTTGTATAAATAAATGGAATTGGTGTTAGAAATGTAAAATTGGATTGGTATTGATGAGAATGGTAGAGTTGGATATGTATTATCACTCACCCCTTGAGACTTGGAAAGTTTACCTTTATGGAATATAAATTATCTGTTTAGAAATATCTGTTTTAGGCTATTAATGGAAGATAGTTATTGTGATAACTCTGCTCCGTATTATGTTATTTAGGCCAAGTTTGGGAAAACTAAATAAGTGCACTTTTTGACTTTTCTTGTATTATGTGTAGAAAAAGTAGAGAGGAGATGTTGATTGATGTGACTCAAAAAAGATAAAAAGATGAAATAAGTGCACTTTTTTAGTTTAGCCAAACTTGGCCTTAATCTTAATTACGAATGTGATTATGTGTTTGATACGATTTTGAGTGCTATTTATATGAATATATGTGGTTTTGAATTTCTATCTGTTCACCGTAGGAAAATCTATTTAACTTACTGCTATGAACTGAAAATTGAAGACCTTATCGGCCACAGAAACCGAAATTGACTACGCCATTGTGATTAGCGTAATTTTTAGAGCCTACGGTGAAATTTAATTGAAAATTTATTCGAATCAAAATAATTAGATTCAAAACGATTAATTAAACACTATTGCTTAGCTCTAATCAAATTTGATTAGGCCATCTTATATAAAGGCCTATATAGCCTTATGTTATTGTTTTAAACTCACTTTCTCTTATTTGGCTAAGATTTATTTAGAGAGAGAGAGAGGGCCGGTTCTAGAGAGAGAAGATGAGGAATTATGCATTTTGGTTCAAGATTGTGAAT